AGCATTCCCAGGCACAAATGTGTTCTCTTATCATCTGACAGAAGAGTGAATACCTGAGCTGTAACAACTGCTTCCTTCCCAGATGCCACAAGAACAAAGATGACAACACCTATGCAATCTAAATAATCACATTCACTGATTTAGCAAAAACTTTCCAGTTGTGAAACAACAGAAACCCAACCATGTGACACTAATTAGTCCGGACAAACAAGGGTCTGTAAGCGGCCAAGGACCATAGAAGCCCTACTTGAGGGATCACAAATTCAATCCCTGACTGCTACTGGAAATCTCTGCCATTTTATTTGTTAGCCTCTGCCTCTCATTTAAACAGGAAAGCAATCTTTTTTTTTTTTTTAAGTGTTCTCAAATTCACTATGTAGTCCAGGCTGGCCTTGCTCTCACAGAGATTTGCTTGCCTCTGCCTCCCAAGTGCCTGGATTAAAGGCATGCGCCACCATGCCTGGCTCAGGAAACCAATCTTAATCACTCCCAGATGTTCTGAAAATGCTATTATTTAACAGTAGCTAAATGACATTCTTCAATGGTGACCCTGAGATACTGAGAAAGCCATTTGTGTGCTCACTGTGCCTCTCAATAACAGCAGCAAGGCAGGGGCAGGAGAGCTGGCTCAGCAGTTAAGAATGCACACTGTTCTTGCAGGGGACCTGAATTCAGTTCCTAGCATCCACATCAGGCTGCTCACAAGTAGCTGTCACTCCAGCTCCTGGGGGATCCAACATCTCTGGTCTCTGTGGGCACCTCACTCACATGCACATAACCTCCCTCACACACACGAATAATTAAAAATAAAAAATTAATAAACTAAAACAAAAGCAGAAGATGCAATGTGTTTCAGAAAGGCATCCAAAGAATGAGTAGAATGTTTACCGTCTGGTTGGAAGCTCCTTACTTCATCTATCCAAAGATACCAAGCATGTAGAACACCCATTTCTAAGGATGGCATCTTGGTATCAACCATTTCCTAGTATTTGTCTTATCTCCAAGCAATTGGTATCAGACAAAAGTTACCAAAGTTACCAGTTTGCCCCAGAGCACTTTAAAAAACCTACATACCAGAGCACTTTAAAAAACCTACACATACAGGGTGGAAAGATGGCTCAGTGGTTAAGAATAGTGGCTGTTCTTGCAAGAGACCCAGGTTCAAATCCCAGCACCCACATGGCAGCTAGCAACTGCCTCTAACTCCAGTTCCAGGGGATCCGACGCCCTCTTCTGTCCTCGACAGGCATTGTACGACATGGGTGTACTTACATACATGCAAGCAATACACACATACACATAAAATAAATATTTTTTAAAAAAACAAAACTCCAATATAACATTAAAAAAGACCCTTTCACATAGGGTTTTGTTATTGGTAGTCCACCTGGCCTTGATCTTGTGCTGTTCCTGCCTCAGCCTCTTGAACACTAGGATCATAAACATGTGTTACTGCAGCTAGCTGTAAATTGGAACTTTTTTTGAGATTGTCAGAATGGCTCTAATTTATTTGGATGGTCTCAGTTCTTGACCTTTATCCTCACTGATAAAACACCTCAGTGTCTTTCCCTTCCCTACATCAGGGACTTTCTTGACCTTGAATTTGGAAACTAGGTGAACCTTTCAGGTAGAACAGATGTTAGCATCCGAGGTCCCAGGTTGTAATCATTCCTTTACTGTTGTCACGCTGGAGCAACGTCCTTCTGTACATGTCCAGGCAGAGTCCATTTCTAGAGACTCACACTCGCATTTCTGACTCCATGACACTTGTCAACAGGTCTCATCACTCCCCAGATCAAATATTCTCCATTATCTGGATCTCCTGCACCATCTTTCTTTTCTCACTCACATTGCACAGCAGTCAAAGACATGTGCTATGTGTGTCCTAAACGGACATGGGTGTGTTAGCTTACATGTCCCTCTACCCAGAAGATAGCTTCTGATCTTTGCATCCCACTGGGCAGGTATCCAACACTTCCAAACACAGATCCATCCTTGTTATAGACATATTGCTTACCACAATGAGAGAAGTCAATACCAAACAAGTCGCTCACTGGCTTCCTAAAGGCCTTCTATGAACCCATGAGCTCATCACAATACTGGGCAGTCTACTGTGGAAAGCGCGGCGGTTTTCACAGCCCTCTAAAGGGACAGGGGACAACTCCAAACTTAGCTGTCTCTTCTTGGCAGAATGATGTACCAGGTCCTTCAGGACAGACATGGAGATTTGATTCCCTTGGAGAGCTGAGAACAATTGTTCAAAGCAGCTAGGATAGCAGGGAGCTCAGTGTCCCCAGTGCAACAGTCTTCCAAGTCCAGGGAGGTCAAGGTGGCTGCAGCTTTTACTAACAGAACACGCAGGGGCTCAGGATTTAGTTAAGTCAGGCTGACACTTTTCAGCTTCAGGTGTTTTAAATGACTGATGCTCTGGAACTCAGAATTCAACTCTGATGTTCAGAGTTTGCAGTGAACTGCAGACAAGGTCTCCAAGGGCGTCTTCAGCCACCAGGGCAGCTGATCCAGGTGGCCATTCAGGAAGCGGAGACTATCCACATGCAGCTCCTAGACACAATTCAGCTTGAGGAGCTGTGAGGTAAACTGGGTGATGATCTGCTGCTTCTCCACTGGGGTGAGGAAGATACCGTCCCAGAAGTTGAAGAGGAAGAGCTTGTGCAGGTTACTCATGCAGCCCAGGTAAGGAGCAAAGGTGAGTAGGGTAGCCGGATCATAGACAGAATGCACATGTAGTTCCTGGATGTAGTCCAGGTCCAACACTCACATGACTGTGACGTAGCTGTAAAGGGACAATACCCCGATCTTGAGCCGGCTTTCCACGGCTCTGCCCACTGAAAGAGGTAAGAGAGCTGCCTGTCTGGGTATATCTCCTCGAGGTCCAGGTCTATCACTATCTTCAAGGGCTGCTTAACGCCCATCCCCGAAGGACCTGTCGCTGCTTGATTCTCACTTTCGGTCGGTGCTGACCAATCACCAGCCCTGACTCGACACCACCTGTTCCAGAAGTTCAGATGCATATCCTGTATATCCAGCACTTCCAATTTGCACCTCCTGGAAGATCTGCTGTTCCCCAAGAGCAGCATGTCAATCCCATCCAGGACAGCCTGGAAGGCCTTTGTATGTGTTGCCTTCTTCTTCATCAGGGCCCCCAGAGGGAGGCAGGGGAAGGGCCAGTCCTGCACCATGGCCCTCAGGATTTTAATGCATCTCCTTTGGAAGGCTTCCTTGAACAGTGGTAGGAAGAACACTGAGGGTAGGTCCTCCAGAGCAGAGATGGCCAGGCCTTGTCCTTCAGCAGCCTCTGTCCTGCCAGATACTGGAGTATGGGTGGAGCCTGGGAGCTCATTCTGATGGCTCTTCAGGGAGAAGTCTCCAGAGATGGATGCTGATGACAGGGTTTTGAATCCCAAAAGAGCCAGGCAGTGACTCCAGGATCCAGGACTTAGAATGTCTCCAGCTCCACCGTCTCACTATGTAATTCTGGCTGGCCTGGAACTGGCTACATAAACCAGGATGGACTCACACTCATAGAGATCTGCCTGCCTTTTGCCTCTAGAGTACGCATAAATTGGAACTTTTAAGTTATCAAGAACATTCTGAGACAGGGAGGTTCCCCAGGTAGACAAGGCCAGGCTTATTCACGGCTCATTATCACACACCCAAATTCTGCACCGCTCACTTTTTAATTAGCTTGTGGCTCACTAGTCTCAGTCCTTCACTCCCTTTCCCTCTCCCCAATAAAACACCACCCTCTATTTCAACGAGAAAACTCCCTTCCTTCCCTGTTCTTCTGTTTCTGTGCATCTCAGCTCTAGTATCTGAACTTTGCCAAATGATGCCAGAAACATTTATGGACTGATTGGCCCAAAATGGCTCTAGACATCTAGCCTCAGACAACCTAAATCACAGAGGTCAGACCACTCCTGCCTTAACTAAGTGCCACATTATCAACTGTCAGCATCATCCAAAGACAAATCATCCCTTCCCTTGCCTAGTCATCATAATCTTCTGAATAATTTCACATCTTTGACGTGATTGATAGCATCACTTAAAAGTCATCTCCCTCAGGTACTTAATACTTCAGTTTCAGACAGTAAATGTGGAAGGGGGCACAGGCTGATGAAGTTCCTATTTCAGTCCCTTTTTTTAAAAGTCTTTTTGAGACAGGGTTTCCCTGTAGCCCCAGCTGGCCTGGAATTCACTATGTAAACCAGGCTGGCCTTGAACTCACAGAGATTGCCTGCCTCTGCCTCCCAAGTGTTGGGACCACAGGCATGTGCCACTATGCCTGGCTTCCAGTCCCTTTTTATAAACATCTGTGGACTAGTTTTCTTACAGAACTTCTGAGAATTCTCTTACTCCTCCCACCCCACCTACTCTGAAGCAGCATGAACTGGCTGCCAACACCTGGCCAAGGCCAACATGGGTAGCAAACTGTGACTCCTGTAACCACACCTCTACTGGACAAGGCTGACTGTGGAGCTATGCTGCTAGGCAGGGGCCCCTGGAGATTAAGCACTTATCAGTCCTGGAGCACAGCTAGTAATCTGTCTGCTAGAACCTGGGCTGAAGTGCTGTGCACATACAATCTCTTAATCCTGACACTGTCCTCTGAGACAAGGTTCATGACACCCTTTTTAGATGTGGGCTGCAGTTGAGAGGCCGAGCAACTTCAAGCAGGTCAGGCTCTTCTGAAGTATTATCAGAACTACTCGTGATTCAAGCCCACACTGTCCACGACAGGCTGCAGTTGGGTCTTCACTGGCTTTAGCTGTTTAGCTTAAATGGAGTAATCGAAATACACTGAATGCCTCAAATGTACTTATTAGGCTTTATTTGGCTACCAAGTTTTACCTTGTCTTCATATGGTATGGGCACGAATGCTTACTTTCTAAATGCTATAGGACAAATCTAGATTTGGGAGACTTTAAGCTTTGCTCTTTGAAAATCACACTAACACTTAAGTATGGGACAGTATTTATTACCTGGGCTTACAGTTAGCTGAAAACAATGAAGCTTGTTTGGATCAGGAAAATGCACTTTACAGGTACCTGCAAAAGAAACAGCAATTAGGAAGGTCTGCACAGAGGTCATTTGCAGTGCTGATTCATAGGTAAGCAGAGCCCCTCTAAGTTCAACTTTTAAATGGTCACTAAAGAGTTTTTTATTAATTAGAGAATTATGCTATTTACATGAAATGAAATCTCCCTCAAAGATATTAACATATATGGGTAAAGGCTACCTAAACACGGAAAAATCAGGAAAGGAACCAGGTCAAACGTCTGCTCTGTTCAAACTGGTCTGTACCAGTTAGACATTCACATAGACATGCATGCCCACTGTGGAGAAGGGAACTTTGAAAGAAGTGTGTTGCCTAAGAGTTAGCTCACACCTAGAGCTCACCATGATATTTAAATATATATTAAGTTAGAAATTTATAATAAAAAATATATATACTTATAGCCTAACTGGTAACTTAGCTTGCTCTTTTGGTGAAATGATGCTTTGCTGACTCAAGTGGCAATGTTCCGGGCTAAAGGGGCCTTATCAGGACAAGTTCTCCAGAGAGAACTACTACCCGTAGTACAGGCAAGGGAAGCTGGCTATCACCCATATTTGCCTCCTTCACACAAAAGGACACAAAAGGATGACACCCTATGAATCTGAAAATATCCAGAAAACTCTCTTATATTTATATAACTCAGAGGACACTATAAAGAATTCCTTAGTTTATCTACTAACTTTATTGTTTATAGGTTCCACTTAAGTTTTATACTGATAAAATTTTCAACAAACAGCCTTAGAGATCATAGTCCAGTATTCTTGACTATGATGGATGAGACAAGATGGCCCAGAGACATCGGTGACTAGTCTAAGATCACAAGCTGCACAGAAAAGCAAGGCTAACTCCCAGAGTCACGATGAATTCAGGATCTACTATTCATCCTGTTTCATTCTGGTGTGTAATGAGCATGTTAGACACAAAACACTGAGAATAACACAGGATGGTTGGCTGGATTTCTTTTTCACAGTGAAAGAAAATTCAGTAAGAAGCAGTTTCAGGAATATACTACCATATTCCTTTTTTTTTTTGGTCTTTCTGAGACAGGGTCTTCCTGTAGCCCCAGCTGGCCTGGGTGGAACTTGCTATGTAGACCAGGCTGGCCTTGAACTCACAGAGATCGCCTGCCTCTGCCTCCCAAGTGCTGGCACTAAAGGCATGTGCCCGGCAACTACCATATTCTTTAGAAATAAACTCAAGACGAGAGTTCAAAACTTTCTGCAAAAATCACACACTTAGAACCATAAACACTGAAAACAGACTTCATTTCCCTTTTTTACCTTTTTGAAATTCCCAAGAAAATGTTTTAAACTAATAATAAACCAAATTGAGAAAAAAAAATTTTCAGTTAGCCAACAAAATAGTTTCATGGCAGCTTCAGACTTTGCTCTCGAATGGTCCCTCCCCCTACCTCCTCTTTCCTCTCCTCCCCCTCTACCTTCTAGCTGGTTCCCTTTCTTCCCCCATCAGTCCCCAGCTCTGCCCTCCTTTTACATGGGGCCCAGTCCCTCTCTGTGTCCACCTCCCTAAGACCTCTCCCTCTCCTCCCATGACCCCTTTAGTCCTGTGACCCACAGACACACATCTACAGACACCCATACAGAGAGGTAAACACACACTTGTGCATAACTTTAAATTTAGGAGAGAGACCGTGATACTCGTCTTTCTGAGTCTGGCTTATTTCTCTTGAAGATTTCCAGGGGCATCCATTTTTCTGCAATCGCCACGGTTTCACTTTTCTTTACTGCTGCGTACAATTCCACTGTGTACATGGACATTTTCTTCATCCACTCACTTGTGGATGGGCATCTAGGCTGGTTCCATTTCTTGGCTACTGCTAATAGTACAGTTATAAGCAATGATGTGCAAGGATCTCATGATGTGTTCACTTAGTCTTTTGGGCATGTGCCTGAAAGCTGGGTCAGAGGGAGTTCTATTTTCAGTTTTGAAGAGCCTTCATATGGAGTGTCATAGTGACTAACAAGTTTACATTCCCACAGCAGTGAACAGGCTTCCTCTTTCCTCACAGCTTCTAGCATTTTTTATGGCACATGCCTTTAATCCCAGCACCCAGGAGGCAGAGGCAAGCGGATCTCTGTGAGTTCAAGACCAGCCTGGTCTACATAGTGAGTTCCAGGCCAGCTGGGGCTACAGGGAGACCCTGTCTCAAAAAGACGAAAAAAAAAAAAAATTTTAGCGCCAGGTGTGGTGATGCATGCCTTGTAGTCCCACACTTGGGAGGTAGAGGCAGGTGGATTTCTGTGAGTTTGAGGCCATGCCAGGCCTTCCCTAGACCATTTTAAAGCACATCATTTTACTTCCGAATACCTCTGTAGACAGAAATATACTTCCCTACCTACTTTTTCCCTTCAGTACCTAGGATTCAAACCAGGGCAGCATGTGTGCTGGGCAAGTACTCTACTACTGGCCATACTCTCAGTCTCAACTTTTTAACAGACTCCTGAGACAAAACCTTCAGTTTAGAATGGAAGAAAACTTTGAGGTCAATCCACAGAATTTCAAGATATTCTGGCAGACCCTCAGAAGAAGCATGTTTTCTATGAAAACCTACTTTCCTCCCATAGAAATGTTAAACATCAAAAACCATCCAACAAACAGCTTGCTGCGCCCTCACATTCATTTCATAACCACTCAAGGCTTGCAAGCCGCCATTCTCTTTACAGTAGGTAGTGGTGGGAATGAGCCTTCTAGCCACATAAGACGGGACTCCACATCAAAGCCCAAATCCTCTGCAACATTCACCCAAACAGAAGGCCCCAATTACAAAAGATGTTACCCATATTAACAGGCACCCTTAGCCTTGGAACTACTTTTAAACCAAATATTAGGATAAAAAGTTTAACAAATGGTAAAATGGTCAAAGTTTTTAGATTTTCATATATAAATCAAACATAAATATAAAAGATTTAGGAGAAGATTAACAATAGAAAAAAAAGAAATCTGATACATACTGTAAAGTGCACTTTTGAGTGAGGATGACATGGTGCGGCCCATGCGTCTTAGGCAGGAGAAAATAAGCAAGTGAGGACACTTGTGGACACAGGGCCGTGTAGCTGCCTTCCTCAATGAAAATGGTGGGGCCTACAAAGAGACCCTTTCTCAAAAAGACAAAAAAAAAAAAAAACCCACAAAAACAAAACAAAAAAATTTTGTGCACAAAATTAAAATTCATTCTTAATATAATGAAAAATAGGCTTTTTGCTATGCAAAGTTATTAAAACATACAGTAAGATTTCTTCATGCCATTACTTTATAGCACTAATTTTTTACTGGGGATGCTATACTTACAAGGCAAATTAGCTTCAAGTTCTGCAACCTCTGTAGAAACAAAGAGACTGTGGTTAATAGTAATCTTCATAGCATCACCAATCCTAAATGAGCAAATTTCCTCTACATCAAAGAAGAAAAAAGTGCAGTGGATGAACCAAAACCTGGTCTAGAATTTAACAAAGCCATTTAGCTGTCTTCAGATATATAAGTTGACATGCAGAGTACCAACAAATCAACCAAAAATGTCTTGAAAATTCACTTTAATACCAACGACAATCTAAAAATAACAGCAAATGCCTTTAGGTTAACAGTGATTGCAATACTTTTGAAAACAATTCCTCCAAGTAACAGACCTACTCTTTTCAAAATCTGATTTGTGTGTGTGTGTGTGTGTGTGTGAGAGAGAGAGAGAGAGAGAGAGAGAGAGAGAGAGAGAGAGACGTCTTTTTCCAAATATGCCTTCAAATTACCTCCTTGTAACTTACATTTCTTGGCCCTGGTCCTCTCCCTGAGGACTCAGACCACCCAGTTCATATCCTCCCAGTATCTCATTGCGTGTTCAAGCCCAGCACCCTTCTCAGGACAAGGCTGTAGCACCCTCCCTACCACCTTATCCTCCAAGATCTGATCTAACAAACTATGCCCAATCTCACCACTTCTATTCAACACAGCACTAGGATAGTAAGAACAATCAGACAAGAAGTGCATCTAAGTAAAAAAAACTTATGCCTCCTTACAGAAGACATGACATTACATACAGAAGGCCCTGAAGACCGACCCCAACAAGCAAGGAACAAGTATTAAATCTAATAAACTTAATAAAATTGCAGAACACAAAACCAACACACAAAAACCAGTCTGTTTCTACACACTAATAATGAGTTATTAAAAAAGAAAACAAATACCAGGTGTGGTGGCACATGCATGTAATACCAGCACCAAGGATGCAGAGGCTGGAGGAACATGGGGGGTGTGGGGGTGGAGCTGAACTATAGCTCAGGGTACAGCATTTACCTAGTATGCAAGAGGCGCCTAGGTTCTGTTCCCAGAACTGCCCAGAAAGACAGAACGAAACTGAGAAAGCAATTCCATTTACAACAGCATCAAAAATAATATATTTAGGAATAAATTAACTACAGACAGAATTACACTAAAACTGCAAAACACTGATGACAGAAACTAAAGACCCAAGCAAATGGAAAGCCACCCATGGGCAAGGATAGAAGAATGTATCATAGAGCACCCATGCCACCCAGAGCACTTACAGATACAGAAATTATAAACAATGATCCCACAACCCCTCTTCTGGGTATACACTCAGAGAGAGGAAACCCTCTGTACTCACTACAGCTATCTTCCATGATAGCCAAGACAGACAGCACAAGTATGGCCGGATAGTAAGTATGTGTAAGGAACATCATATTCAACATTAACAAAGATGAACCTGCCACTTATGACAACGTGGGTAGACCCAAGGACATTAAGCTAAGTGAAATGGGCCTAAGAGAAAGAAAGAACTTGTGTTCTTTCTGAATATATAGAAACAGAACAATAGTGAAAAGGATTGGGAAATGTCAGTCAGAGGATTAGTTAGGGCAAATTCAGAGCTCTAATCATATAAAGGAAATGATCTATGAACTCACTTGATTTGTAATTTTACTATGTAGATATTATATAACTGTATACATTAAATAATAATTAATCACAAATAAAAATGCTATGGTAGGGGTGTATGAGAGGACACCCTGCAATGAATTGGTCAGCAGAGTAGACTGGGCCTCTGGCAGGAAGTAGCGGCTCTGGGTCTTTGGCTCCACTGACTCTCTGTAGCTTGGGAGAAGGATGCCTCGGAGCTGCTTTAAAGAGTGTGCTCGATAGGGTCAGTGTCACCTTGACACAGCTGGGTTGAGGGAGCCTCAATTGGGGAATTGCCTCCATTGGACTGGCCCGTGGCCATGTCTGTGGGGCCTCTTGATTATTGAATGATATAGGAGGGCCTAACCCACTGTGGGTGGTGCTACCCCTGGGCCGGTGGGCCTATGCTGCCTAAGAAAGCAGGTTGAGGGGGGACCAGAGGAGGAAGCCAGTAAGCATCGTTCCTCCATGCCTGTGCTTCAGCTCCTGCCTCCAGGTTCCTGCCGTTAGTTCCTACTTTGGGATCCCTCAGTGTTGAACTGTGACCAGGGTGTAAGCTGAATAAACCCTTTCCTCCCCAAGTTGGTATTGGTCAGAGTATTTTGTCACAGCAATGAAGAACAAACCAGAATAAAGAGTAAGTACTAAGATAGGAAAGGCCAGAAGCCAGAAGGCATCAGTGTCTGCGGAGCAGTGGGCAGTGAGGTAGAATAGTGACAGGGGATTCCTCAACAATGTTTTCGAGTTTTGCCTTAAGTAAGCAACAGGAGAAAGGGCAGAGAGGAGGGCATGTGATCTCTGCACTGGGCGGCAAGCATCAGTCCAAGTCAAGGAAGAATTAAGCCAGCGAGCACTGCAGATCTGACTCCACTGACTCTCTGTAGAGACTCTCTGTAGTCCTGGCAAGCAAAACAACAGAAATGCAAGAGGAAAATGGAAAGCAGAGCAGGAAAAGGGAACAGATTCCGGGCCAAAATGGCATGCAGCCAACAGGAGGGGAAGTGGGGAAGGTAAACTGAGGCTCAGGTGTCGGAGACCCAGAGGCCCTGGGTATCGGGTGTGTGTGAGATGATTGAGCTCTGGATGGACAGCAGACGGCTCAGGACCTCTGCAAGCTCAGGGGCCCAGCAAAGTTGAAGGAGCAGCAGAGGAGATAGGGCAAGGGAATTGTCTACACTCCTTCACGGCTCCAGGATACCACAGACGATATCTACTAGAGATGTTCTCATGCTGAGAAAATGAAGAAATTTGACACCCGGCGTGGGCCTGGCATGAAGAGGCAGGCCACTAGACCATCCCCTTGCTGGGGTTGGAAAAGCAACATGTTCCATCACTGAACACAAGCCTTGAGTCCATCCTCTCTTGGCGCTACCGAGTGAGACCCTGTCTCAACCATACAAACAAAACAAAACTCACGTAAGTGCTGGATCTGTAATATCAGCACTCAGGAGGTTGAAGCAGAATGATGTTCAGGGCCAGCCTGGGTTTTAATGAGACCCTGTCTCAAACAAAAAAAACCCAGAATAATGGTAAATCTGTGAGAGGTGCACTGCCATCCTGCTCAGGACTGCAGTGACCTTGAGTGCTCACTCTCTCCAAGGTTACCCTTGCCCTTCCTGGAGGCAGGTAGGCAGAAGGCTAAGGAAGACAGCACATGAATTGTTCACGCTGATCATTTATTAAGTATCACCCATTAAAGTAAACTGTTTCTGTTTTGTTTTGGAGACAGGGTCTCTATGTAGTACTGGCTGTGTTAGAACTCCCACTGTAGACCGGGCTGGCCTCAAAGAGAGATCTGCCTGGCCCTGCCTCCCAGGGCTGGGACTATAGGCATGCACTACCATGCCCAGTCCTAAACTATGTTTTTGAAGCAAATACATCTTCTATTCTACTGTCATTCAGATTTATTTAACAATAGCTTAAAATGTACCCATGGGGATATGACTGTCAAGTACAGCAAATGACTTAGCAGAAACAAAATGTTCAAGAGGACAGCCCAGTGCCAAGGGATGAAGAGGTAAGATCTGGGCATACAGACAGGCAAGGCATAGCTCACACAGTGTGAATGGGACAAGAGAGAGAGAGAGCTAAGTGGACATCTAGACCAATGTTCCAACTCCTCCTCTATAGAAATAGTGCTATGGTGTCTTGGGGATGAAGGACCTTCCTCACATCAATCACATGGACAGTGTTTTGCTAATGTGGTTCTGTTGGAATCATAAAGATTTAACGATAAGACAGAGCCACTTTAAGTGAAAGAATCAATGATTTTGGTAAGTTTTGGAGCTGTGTATCTTATAACCACAACTCAGTAGGCGCAGAGCTTCTAAAACTCAAGATGCCCTAGGCTCACACCAGTAACTAAGAATCCTGCGGTGTCTTTTGCAAGGGCACTAATCCCATTCATGAGAACTCTCCCAAAGGTCCCACCTCCTAACACCATGACCCAGGTAATTGGGTTTCAATGCACGCTGAAGGACACAATCATTCAGACCACAGTACCAGGTGCAAGACACCGCTCCAACCACTGACGATGAAACTATGTTCAAATAGCATTACACACATGTATCAATTTAAGTTCTGCTCCTGTGAAATGTAAAAAAAAACCCTCATGTTACAGCCAAGAATTCAAATTCTGATAGTTTTCTTGCATTTTCATGTTCTGTGCAACTCAAGAAAGGAAGACAAGGGCTGGGGAAGCCACACAGCTGTTGATGAGCCCAGGAGCCCATCGGCTCTCCCCCCAGCCATCAGAGCAGGTAAGGAACAGAGTCCTGGGAACATAGAACTTCAAAAAGGACGCCAGTGTTTTAATCTAGCGTAGAATAGAAAACACTTAGTCAAACCTGCACAGAGCTCCTCTCAGGGAGTTGTCAAATGTGACATGTTCAACCCTTCAAACGATGGCAAACATTCACTAATTCACTAAGATCAGCAATTGCTGTCTTGGAGTCAACACAAAAGAGAAGATAGCCAGAGAAGCAAGCCAGCTGCATGACAAGTCTGTAGGCGTCTAAGCAAAGCAACATAACTAGCACCTGACAAGCACTGCCCTCCCCACAAAGTAACAGAAACTGGCAAGAGCTTTAAACTGCGAAAGGCTTGCCTTTGCCAAGATAACCATGCCTCTCCTGCTAGGCAGCCCAGAATTTCTAGGAGGCACTTGGTACACCTTGCATAATTCAGTGGCTACATAACTTCCTTCTGAGAAATTAGACTGTCTTCCTTTCTAAGAATCAAACCAGAGTCCACTTAAAGCTTGACTACACTCAGATTACAAAATCCACCCAGTTACCACAACAGCCCCCACACTTCATACACTCACCTCCCCTAGCCCTGGGTAGCTCACAACACTGGGCTTCAGCTGTTTCCTCCCCATCTGCCACACATCTGCATTCTCTTCATGGGTGGGAGCTGTATAGTTTGCCCGTCTACTCCAGTACCTGGCACTAGGCTGGGCACACAAAGTACTTGGGAAACGTGAGACAAGTAAGCAATTGCACTTGCCTACACATGGCAGGGCCCCTGCTGTTGAGTGTCTTGAGCTATCTCCTCACATGTGACTGACAAGGTTTCCAAAGGTGCTATGGCTTAAATTGTTGTCACTTTTTCCACATACACTGATGCTAAGCCCTAATGTAATAGTAAAGTAAGTAATGGTAGAGCCCCCATGATGAGATTATAGTGTCCTTAGTAAAAGACCAGTCTCCCTGGCACCCCATTCCCTCATCAACTGAGGACATGAGGAGACAGCCATTTGTTTATAAGCCAGAAAGCCCTCACTAGGAATGTGACTTTAACATCAAGTCAGCTTCTATAACCACAAGAAATGAATGCCTGTGGCTCATGCTCCCTTGCTGGGCTAATGTTCTAGATTTTAAAAACTGTGATACATAGCATGTAATCCCTGCTGCTAAATGCTTTGACAACCGTGGCAATGTGGCAAGCCAAACCCTGATCCACTCACCACACATTATGGTGGGAGACTAGTGCAGAAAACAGATTTGGAGGTGCTCTCTTCCCTCCTGGAGCCACACTGGAATGGGGCATGTGGCAGACAGTGAGGGGCCCAACCTCATATGGACACACCAGTCCTCACACAGTGAGATGCCTGGCCTGGAGTACAGCAAAGAGGGCACCCAGACGTTCCTGTTCTGCAGGATGAGCTCTGAGCATGCAGTGCCACCCATCACGGCCCTTGCTGGCTTGTCACAAGGCAAAGTTAAGAGGCTCCTGGGGGTGTGAAGTTGCATGGTCAAAAACTATACTCAACCCTTTCTAGTTCTTTCCAGACCCACCCTGAATGAGCTCAGTTCTAAAACTTCCATGTTTAAAAAGACTAATATAGGTGAAGGTTCCTGGAGGGCACCCCCATCTTCTGGGGTAACAAGCAGTTATGTAGCACTAATGAATTTACTGAAGGTAAGAGGGCATGTGAGAGATCAGGAAACAGGCACTCAAATGTTAACCACCAATGTCAGACTTCAGGCAGATAAGGAAGCAGTTGATTCTCCCCTGAGGACAAAGTGCTCTGAGAGTTCTAACAGGGTACACAGGGACCCACAGGGCTGAATACTGCCACCCACAAGGGTAACCTAATCAGGCCCTAGACAAGGAACGTACATTCTCTCTCTGAAGGCGCAGATCCTGAGAGTTAGGCCTGACAGTACCCAAAAACACAGATGGTTTGTATCCCTAGGAAGCTCTGCTGAAAGCATCACACAAGCTCCAGTCAGAGGGTAACTGGATCTGCTAGTAAAAGGGCAGTGTGGTGACGCATCAGTCTCTCCACTGGTCATCCAAGGCAACTGTGTCTAGGCCCTGGAGTATACTAGGAAGTTAATTCTAGATCCCTCACCACACCGAGAACAAGACAAGGACTTTAGCTGGGCACTGACTTCTGACCTTCCCTCGAGCACAAGTTCCAATCTCCCTTCCTGTCCACTCAGTCCTGTAGCCAGAGTCACATTCAGATCAGCAAGGCAGTGGACCAATTACAAACACCTACTTATTCATAATTCTGCTCTTTGACAATTTCATGTATGTGCATATATGTGCGTAATGCATCTCGAAGCCTCTCCCACATTCCCTGGTACCCCTCCTACCCCTACCAGCATCCCTTCTTCCCTACAAATCTGGTTCCCATATCCATGACTTTTTGCAACTGTGTGACCATGGGTTTGGAACCATCCACTGGAGCACAGCAGGCATACCAGTGGGTACACAAGTAGAAACTATGCTCCCCTTCTCATTAGCTGTTCAGCAGGACATGTCAGGGCCCCAGATGCCCTCTCAGTGGGGCTGTGGGCATGTGGCCTTGGCATTCGGCCTATTTTAAGACTCTGTGGCTGCGCAGGCTCCCACCCTAGGCCACACACCTTCCAGGACAACCACTTGTGACTAGAAACAGAGCAGGAAGGCCTGCACATCTTGCCAGTCTGGTGACAGCTCTAAGAACTGAGTTTGCCCCACAGCAGGGGCAATAATGGGGCGTTCTCCTCAAAGTATGATCACCCCTTTGCCCTCCTGCTTCCCTCACTTCCCTCCACAGTACTGTCCCAATGTACTTACATGACAAGCTCCCTGCCTCCCCTTTCTAGGAATGCAGTCTTTGGTATTAAGTCCTACACACAACCACACAATTTCCTATAATTTGTCCATCCTCGTTAATGACATCTTCACAAGAGCTCAAGTCATGGCCCAGCTGAAACTCAGACTCAAAGTCCCTAAAGGGGTCTCTCCGGCTGCCTTGCCAGCTACCTAATAGAATGGAATCCAAGTTCTCCACAGTAGTGCCCCCAGTAGCATAAATTGCCAGAGGATTGAAGGCTATCACATCCACACTGCCCAAAGGGCCAGCAAGCTACCCAAAGGACAAGCTAAACAAAGTAGCTTCCTAGGTGTACACCAAGAGGCCGCAGCCATCTGAGCATCCTTCACACAGTTTACAGTCTCCTCTCAGGCGGGCCTTATCCAGCTTCCACCCCAAGTCCCAAACTACCCATCAGCCAGTCGAGCCAGCCCTAAAACAGCTGGAGCTGGCAGGCCTAGAAGAATGTACACGAGCTATACTGCCATCAAGTGTAAGTGGCATGGGTCCTAGAAACCACACTGCAGGTACAAAGATGAAAATGGCGATTCAGCATCACCCTTGGTGGTCTCCCAAAGTCAAAGGACCTCTGCTGGTCACTACAGCCAGCCACAGGCATCTGCCCCCCAGGCGCAGCAGAGTGGTGTATGAGAGGACTTAGTAGGCTCCTCTTGGCTCCAAGAGACCCTGGGGTCATTTGAAAGCTCCCAGGTGAGTCCCTGGGCACAGCAGAGGTAGAGACTGTGAGCCTGCTAGGACTCTCCTTCCTGTGGACTTGAATTTATGTTCATTTGGCTGCTTGCTGAGTCTGCTCCCCTAGAGCCTGCTTCACCCCAGGATGTGGGTCTGGCCAATCTGTTGCAACAAGGGCAGGTTTGTTAACCTCTGAGTCTCAGCCTCTTCAACTGCAGAAGGAAGCACTTAGCAAGGCTTTAAAAGTGAAACAAAAATCACCCCAGAAGTGCTTGCTGTGGTTTGACCTAGAACACCTACTATGGTCTGAAGGTATCCAAAACTCATCTTAAAACCTAACCCCCAATGTGGTAGTAAGAGGTAGAGTCTTGGAGGCAGTGAATAAGTCATGAATCCATCCTGAATGGACTAGGGCTGTTTTAAGTTCTTGTCTCCTTTCCCTTCCTTCTGGAAGGACCAGTATCCCTCTCTTCCTAGGACATGGCAATCAGGCCTCATCTTGGAAGCAAAATGCAATCCTCACCAGATACCAATCTTGCTTTTTTTCTGTGGTGCTGAGGATAGAACCCAGGGTCTGGTGTGAGTTAGACAAGTGCTCTATCACTGAGCCACATCCTCAGTCCAATCCTACTATCTTAATCTTGGACTCCCAGACCCCATACCACGAGAAAAGAATTCCTATTGTTTACAAATTATTCAATCTGTGATATTCTGTTAAACCAATACAGAGTAAGATGGAGTGCCTACCCTCTGGCCTGGTCCTCAGTGCTCATAATCAAAGCTGTTATTACCATGGCAGTGGCTTACAAAGATCACCTTCTACTGCTCTTTCTTCAGCTAAAGCCCAAAGTCTTCTTCACTGCAATAAAATACTCTGCCCAGATCCTATAACCGTTCCCCTGCTCCTCTGCTTGGCTCTGGGCCACCTCCACAGATGGAACTCGAGGCTCAAGTCTGAAAAAGGAACTCAAATGCTATTGGGCTCACCCAAGTGGGGTGCTCCAGCCCTTACTCCACCACAAGGCCCACAATCTAGGTTCTCCTGGACCTGTAGGCAAGAACATGACATAAACAACACTCACTTTTAAACAATCATCCATCAGCTTGCCAAGGTTTAAGCTAAGATTTAGGGACAGAAAAAGCACAAGGAAGAGATCCTGCTAAACCTCCAGAAACCTGCTGCACCAACCCTTGCTGTCAATCTTTGGGCTTCCACATGTGCACATACATGTGCTAACACACACACAAACACACACTAAATAAGAAGAAAGTCTTTATCAAACATAGCTTTGCTTTACTAACATGGGCAGTGGGAATGACTAAGATCCTAGGACACTATGTATAATCATAATTCTGTGAATTCCAACAACAGAATTATAATATATATATAGCATCATATAACAGTTCACGTAGTGTGGTATATGTACTTCTGTGAAGACACTTAGTTTTGCATAGTACTTCTTAGGCTTTGTCCTATATGAAACAGGCAAGGGTCCTAAGAGATGACTTTTGCCAGGCTGGACAACTACCTCTGTGCTTCCCACAGGAGAGGAGAAGACACAGGAAAATAATAGCAGCTGCCTCAATCAGGCCTGCCAACTCCTACTGCCTTACGCCTTCCATAGCACCGCACAATGGCAGACCCAGTGAAGAATATTCCTGGCACATCAACAACAGTTACAATTCCATCTCCTTGGCATTGCAATCCCATATACACTGCACAGTAAAAGTCCTTTCCTTGTAGGTGACAATTATACTTTAAAATTGTTTCAAACAGGTATTTCCATTCAGCAACAGGCAGCTTTCCATTCCCTAAGAGCCTCCAAGCAAGCTTCATTTTGTTACAGATTATAAAACCTGCTCCCTTGGAAAATGATTACCTTTAACAAGTAACTTGTCTCTCACAGAGACCCTCCGAGTGGAGTCAGATGCGGAAGCTGATGTCCGGGAGCCTTTAAGACCGTCATCCCGCTTCAGTTTGCTTGCCAGCGTTAGCATTACTGCCACCTTTCCTCTGGAAGACAGGCAGAAGCACAGTTAGGTCCCTGGACATGACTAGACACTGCAGACATGCACACCTTTTCATTTTTGATTTCTCTAGAACATCCCTACACAGTAACAAAACTGGGGTCCTTCACAATGAACGTGAGTAAGCAGCATGTAATTCTTCGTAAGTTTAACTGGCTGAAGTATGAATTAAACATTTAAGAAGGCAGTCACTTCACACTCACTGGGAAGAGTAGATAGGCATAGGACTCTGGGATTTCATCAAGCGGTCTGGGGGCCTCCATAGCTTCTCAATCAGCATTCATTCCCTATCCCCACTGGCTCCAAATGGGTTCACTGTACACTGGAAAGTCTGTCCTTCCTGTAGCAGGGGACCCACGTGTGGCCTCAAGCTCCCAGGATCAGCAGGAGTCTCCAGGGCAAAGGGACATCTGATGCTTTGCTTTCCTTCTTCCTTAAACATAAGTGTGCAGAGCCTTCAAAGGATCCTGTGTTTAATATACTTTTTTTTGCAATATCAACATGAAGAGTAAATCATAATACCCCAAACGAGTCTTCTCCACTGGTACTTTGAGCCCATGTCTATTTTGGGTTCTCCTGCTGCAAACTCCATAGGAGTGAGCACAAAAACCAAACTTAGATGACACTCCTGCCTGCCTGCATGAAGGATGAAGAGACGCAAACCCCTACCTATATTAGAAGACATCATTTGAATTTTCTAAGAGCAGCTTTAGAGTTACAGAAGTGTGAGGCAGAAGGAACAGTCGTCTCCTATGCACTGTGGCCCCCATGCCCACTGTCAGTACCCTCTACCTAGGGTTTACTTTGTTTCAAAGGATGAACCTGCGCAGGCACAAGATTATGACCCAGAGTGCGGCCTACATTACAGAGTCACCAGGTCAAACAGGCACCATGACCCTCGGGAGCCTGCCTTGTTTCTACTACAAGCTTTCATTAGCAGATACTTCTCAGACTCGACACCCTCAGAGAGGGGATAAAAGGTAGGATAACACCTCGATTTTTCCATAATTTCCTCTCGTTTTTTATTTATTTTTATTTTTTATGTTTTTCAGACAGGGTCTCCCTGTAGCCCCATGCTGTTCTAGAACTCGCTATGTAGACCAGGCTGGCCTCAAACTCACAAAGATCCGCCCTGCCTCTGCCTCTTGAGTGCTGGGACTAAAGTCGTATGCCACAACAGCTGGCTCCTCTCTGGTTTTAATATTTCTTTTTCAATACCATTGTGATAATTTTCATGCAAAAATGATCTAAAATTTCTAGGTGAAGAGCCTGACCTAAGAACAGAACTTCTAGTTTGAGGCTAAGACCCTGAAACCCAAAATACGAGCACACTCCTTTTCACTGACATTTTAGCTGGTCTTCTGCAGTTTCTCGTGCCACCTTCTGTGTACCCCAAAGATGGTCACCTGTAACATCAGTCTTTGGGAGGCTGAGGCAGGAGAATTGCCAGTCGGAGGCGAGCCTGGGCTACAGAGGGAGACCATGTCTCAAAGAGCAAAATAAAAAATACCAAAACTCCCAAAGCAACACTTGTCTAAATTTGTGAAACTAGTGTACTGTATATGTTACGTGCATAAGTTCACAAAACTGAAAATCTGGGAAGGATTTCTGTCCCCCACATGCCTAGTCTTATTTTACCATGTGGACCCTGGACAGCAGGCCCAGAGAAGCAATCACCACAAAAGCCTAGTTTTCCTTTAAGGGATGTGTTCTAAATGTGGTTATGGTATTGGGTATACAAAGACCTACTGATCAATCACATACTTTAAATATGGGCAGCTCAATCAGGCATCAATAAAGTTGACAAACATGAGGAGACATCACCAGCTGCTTCCTTAGTCCACTCAGCTGTGTTTTCCTCAGGGGCACCTATGTGGAGGCATGGCTCTACTATGAACATGTTCATCTTCGAGACTTCATCTCGGGCACAGGAGCTATGGTGCAGCTACTAAGTCACTTCACCCATGGAAGCTTCAGCCCACAAGCTACGAAAATAGCACAACACCAAGCTGTGGTCTCCTGCTCCAACCTCCACCTGACCTTGTCAGGATTCCCTCAAAAAGGCTCACACAAAAGAGTCTGCCACCCCAGTCACTGTGTCCATACCTAAGCACGTCAGTCCTACCGGTCCACCAGGGTTGCCTGACAATAGTACAAGCGTGCCTATCACCTAGGAATCAGCCAGGAGCACCAGAAACTCCACGAGGAGCATCACGTTGTCACTCTTTGGCTGACCTCAGTAATACAAACGGGGTGAGAACTGAGAACTGAAAGCAGTGTGTGGAGTTCAGCAGGCAGTCCCCCAGTAGTCACAGTAGAGAACTTCATGGAAAATCGGGCCAGGACACAAGCGGCTCCAAACCCAGCTCCCGAAGATCTGCACTCAAGTTGCTGCTCCAGAGACCTGGCAAGAGCGAGCACTCAGAGATCCGCTCTCCAGTGCTGTGGTCTGAGGTCTGTGTGCAATGCTTTCACCCTCACCTACGCCTAGCTCCTGTGCGTGCAGAGGATGGATGCCCCATACTCTTGTCTACTGAAGGAAGGGATTCTGGCAGGAAGCTTAACACATTCAATGACTGTGCAGGATATTAAAACAAAACAAAGCACTGTTTTGTCTTCTAGAGAAGAAAACACAAAACTTGCTTTCCAATATTCTAAGATGTAAGAATATAGTGTCCATTTATTTTTCTAGTATCATTTTCAAATGCCACACGGGGGACACACCAAAGTCCCAATTTGGAAATGTTTCTATGATTGGAAAATTAAATCTACACAAAGGGACCCAAGAAAAATCATTATCATTCAAACAAACGGTCCACAGGGTATTGGACTACCCGCAGATGCCTCGGAATTTTCTTTTCCCTCCTCAACATGCCCCACCTCTGGAAAATCTACTGAAAGGAAACTTGCCTTTTCTCGAAAATGACACTGTAACTAAGGCAGTATTTTGGGAACAGATCTGTTGTTCTGAACAGCAAGCTTAGTCTCTAGATTCCACAAGTTGCAATTGGCCCAGTTAGTTCCTCCTCTGGGTGGGACCTGCTTTCAGGCCATCCAAAGAGGATGCCTGTGTGTTATTCACCAGCCCCATCACCGAGTCATGTTTACTCAGCATTCCTGGGTTGCGGTGGTGCAATCAGGCCATGTCACCTGTGCGGGGCCAGGGAGGCAGCTCAAGGTGAGGCCACCTCCGCATGCACAGATCCTGCCATAGAGAAGTCCCGACGCAAGCAGGAGAGACAGACTGTGGTCACTGGGGACACTGGACTTCCCCGGTCAGGGAGCCAGACCAGGACAACCCATTGTCCACACCCCACGACTGTGTGCATGACAGTGCCCCAGGGTCTCCCCCGCTTGCCAGTCTGGCTTGGTTGACCACCTTGGGAACTCAGCTTTGACCTCGGGTCAGGGGTCCCGAAGGCCCCCATCACTGCCCCCGAGTCTCTCCCACTCCGGGCGTCCCCGCCTTCGGCCCTCCATGCTGCACAAGCCGACCCGCGGCCTCTCATTTCTGGAAGTTTCGGTCCAACCTGGGATGGCCTCTTCCTCCTCACCCCCCATTCTGCAGGCGCCTTCTCAGGCCGCCCCTACCCTCGGGTCTCCGTAGCGCGCGCGGGGCGGGCCCGAAGCCTCGGGGAGGGCGGCGGCGACCGAGAAACGGAGTCCGGGCGGGGAGGCCACGCCGCGGAGCCGCTCGGGACCCCGGACGGCAGCCGTCTAGTTCACCGTTCCTTCCCCGCGCCGGGCCCCGCTTCGGCCAGCGCCGTGACCTTGCCGGGGGTCCGCTGGGCCCGGTCCTCCGGGCTCCGCTCGTCAGCCGCCGACCGTCGGCCCCATAGCCGCGGCCAGAGGCCTCCCCCGTCCCGGCCTTCGCGGCCGTGCTCACCTGCACACCCCGAGTCAGGCGAGGCGGGCCGGCGCCCAACACCATGCCCGGCCGGCGGCGGCGGCAGCGAGAGACGCGACCCTCACAGCCGCACCGGCTCCCGGCGGCCGGACCGGAAGTATCGGGGCGGGGCCTGCGCGGCGGCCGCAGCGGGCGCTTTAAAAAAAAAATTCAAAGCAGTGGAGAACTTTATTGGCAGCCTGACGCGCAGACAGTGGCGTGCACGGCGGGGCTGGGAGACCGTCTCTCATTGGCGGAGAGCCCGGCGTGGGGGCGGGCATAGAGTCCGCGACTCTCGCTGATTGGTCACGGGTGGCGGAGGGCGGTTCCTCCAGGAGATTTCCGGAGCGTGTGCGCTAGCGCCGCAGCTGGCCGGGCGTTTCTGCCTCTTTGGAGTCGTTGGGCGCTCTGCAGGCTCCGGAGTCCCCGAGACGCAGCTGTAGCGGTTCCCCAGGGCGCCAGGCCGGATCTGACCTCCTCGGTGCCTGGACCGCCCTAGGTGTCCAGCACAGTGCTGAATGCAAACTGTCGGACTTGCTGCAGTTCAGGGGTTAGTATGATGGGGCAGTCAGGTGCAACGTGCACCCCGGGCCTGCAGGGTGTGGATGCACCCCTTCCTGCTCCCCAGCTTATCTTTTTGAAAATATTTAATTTAAAAAAATTGTATGTGTATGAGCGTATTGCCTGCATGTGTGTGCAATGCCCAAGGAGGTCAGAAGACGGTCTCAGATCCCCTGCAAGAACAGCCACTGAGCCATCTCTCCAGCCCCATCACATTTTATATACTAACAGTACAAAATTCAATTATGTAAGAGCTTCTCCAGGAAAATCATTTTCTTTATATTTGTATTTTTTAAATTATTTACGTGTATGAGTGTATTGTCTGCATGTATGTAAGGATGCCTGTGTCATGCAGTGTCATGCAGTGAGACAAGGGTATGGAATTCCCCTGGAACTGGAGTTACAGATGATTGTTAGCCACCATTTGGGTGCTGGGAATCGAACCCAGGTCCTCTGCAAAAGCAGCTGGTGTTCTTAACTGGTGAGCTCCAGCCCCTCGACTTTGTTTTTTGGGTTTTTTTTTTTTTTTAATCTTTTTTTTGTCTTTTTGAGACAGGGTCTCCCTGTAGACACAGCTGGCCTTGATTCACTGTGGAAACCAGGCTGGCCTTGAACTCACAGAGATCCATCAGCCTCTGCCTCCTGAGTGCTGGGACTAAAGGCGTGTGCCATGCCCAGCTAGGGCTTCTCTTTTTATAACTAGAGAGATGGCAGTTAAGAGCACTGGCTGGGCTTGCAGAGGTTCTGTTCAGCACTCACATGGTGACTAATAACCATCAGTAACCCCAGTTCCAGGGGATTTGATGCCCTCTTCTGACCTCCGAGGGCATTGCATGCAGGTGGTGCACCTACATACATGCAGGTAAAATACTCAGACACATAAAATAAAAAAATTTTTCTTTTGTCTTTTTGAGACAGGGTCTCCCAGTAGCCCCGGCTAACTTGGAACTCACTATGTAGACCAGGCTGTCCTCAAACTCACAGAAATCCGATTGCCTCGCCTCCCCAGTGCTGGGATTAAAGGTGTATGTACTACCACTCCCAGCTATAAAATAAAAAATTTTTAAAAATATAAAGTCTGCTTCAGGATTCAGAATGTAGCTCAGTGGTAGAGAACTTGCTCAGCATTTGTGAGGCCCTGGGGTTCTATGTGCAGCGATAAAAAGAATGTTTCAGTTGTTCTACTTGTAGTCTGTATGTGTCTCTAAAGAAACAGAACTGGTAGAATGAAGATAGATGGATGATAGATGGATGGATGATAGATAGATGGATGATAGATGATAGATAGATGGATGATAGATGATAGATAGATGGATGATAGGTAGGTAGGTAGATAGATGGATGATAGATAGGTAGGTAGATAGATAATTTATCAGATTAGCTCACAGGATAAAGTCCGAGTAGTCCAACAATCGCTGCACCACACCGGAGAGGCTGAGAATCCGGTAGTCGCTTAGTCTGCGAGGCTGGGTAGCTCAGCAGTCCCAATCTGGCGCCGAAGGCCTGACAAAGTCCAAGAGATCTGCTAGTCCCCAGTCTACGTGGAATCTGAAGTTGGTCACAGCAGCAAGATGAACTCACCAGCGAGAGAGAAGGCAAGGGGCAAAAAGCAAGAGCTCCTTCTGCCAGGGCCTTGTTAACGGGCTGCCATCAGAGGGCAACACCCACATGTAGGGAGGGTCTTCCAGCTTCCGATGATCCCATCAAGAAGGTCGCTCTCATTTCAGGTAATCCCACCAGTCAGGCTGACACCCAGGACTGGATGTGTTCTGAGGACCTAACCTGATCAGCTCTGGGAACCTGAGGTCAGTGCCAGGAGGTGATCGGCTGCAGGCCTCTTGCCTGAATGTTGGCCGTTGTGGGCTGACCATGTCCTCCCAGGTACTTCCACAGAGCTGCCACAAACGGCCTCAGGCACATCGTTACAAAGCAGAGAATAAGAAGGGATTCCCTGCCGGTTTCACACTGTCTGCCAGGGACTCCCTGGGCTTAGGTATGTGTGTGGAAGGAGAGTTGCTGTGATCCTCCCAAAGGGCACTGTTACCAGCGGAGGGGAGGAAGACACCTGCCAAGGTTCTCTCCAAGGTTCTCCCCTTCGGCGTTCGCTCCCGAGAAGTTCAGCTCCAGGAACTTTGAGTTAGGGAGCAGGAGGGGAGATGTCCCTGTTAAGGTTTGAATGACCCTGTCTTCCTCTAAAACTCTGGTATTGGAGCCGGGCGTGGGTGCAGGCCTTTAGTCCCAGCACTTGGGAGTCAGAGGCAGGTGGATTGCTGTGAGTTCAAAGCCAGCCTTGTCTACATAGCAAGTTCCAAAAAGACCAAAAAATAAATTCTTGTATTGGAAATGACCCACAATGCAACAGTGTTGGGGACGTGAGACCTAGGAGGTGTTGAGGTCACTACCCTGGTGAACGAATTAATGCCACCATAAATGGGCATGCAGGACCTGATTTTCTTTTCTGTCATGTGGATATAGCAAGAGGGACCTCATCATGTCTGGGCACCTTGATCTTGGGCTTCCAAACTTTAACTGTGAGAAATAAGTTTCTGTTCTCTATGTAAACTACCAAGTCTGCGGGATTCTATGATACTTCACAAAGTGGACTGAAATCATCCTGTAGTGTTTCTGCCTAAGGAAAACATTCTGTCCCAGGGGACTCTCATAAGACTCAGGAAGTAAATGAAATTTACTAGCTCAAGAAGTTCCTAACATTTATGGGGCTCAGGAGGCTCCTGAAACTTACAAGATTTTCAAGGAGGACCCCAGGGGTTCATAACTATAAACAATTACTGAGGAGGGGAGACCCCAGTGGAGTCTATAAGCCTAAAAGTTATGCATGCGCTTTTCCGTGATGCAGCTGCCTTTAAATCACCCATACTTCTGTAAGTAACCCATCACCTGTGCTCATGTAAATATTCCCCCATTAAGGTTGCTAGTTTACTACCCTAGATTTGGGTAGAATTGTGGCATAAATAGACATTTGTTCATGACTTTCTCAGAAAAGTCACACAACAGTATTTTATCTTCAATGGGCCCTGCCTCTGCAGACAGCTGCAGGGCCTGTTCAGCATGGTCTAGGGTTCTGGGCACTCAAGCCTGGGATGGCCTGCTAGCTGACTAATAACAGCTTGGGTACCTGTTGGATTAGGGAAGGGTTCTGTGGGTTGCAAGAGTGACCTTGGCAGAAGTATTAGTGAGCTCAGTCTGCTATACCAAAAAAGCACATGTCTGGAGGGTTAAACAACAGATAATACTGTCCTTAGTCTGGAGACGGAAAGTCCTAGATGAAAGTCTATCAAGGAAAGGTTTGTTCTGAGGCCTCTTCTGGCTGTAGGCAGTCTGTAGCTGTATGCTCTCATGATCACGTTGTGATCAGGCAGGGAGTAAACCGGCATCTCTTGTTTAAGAACACTAACCTTGTTGCATCAGGGCTCCATACACCCTTGGAGCCTCATTTAACCTTAAAGTCTTTATCTCCACTTCAGCCACAGTGGGGATTAGGGCTGCCAGGTGAATTGAGGAACCACCATCTAGTTCATCACATCCAGTAAAGCACTGGAGGGGTGGGGCTGCTTCAGCCAGCCTCTCCACTCTTACCTCTGGTCTGTGCTGGAAATGGGTGTGCTCCAACACTCCCTCTATGCTGGGTGGACATGGCTTGCTCTGTTTCCTTGGGGATTGGCCCTGGGAGGTAGACCCTGCCATCTAAGGAATCTGCAGCAGAGTCAGGCCCACCAGCTTAGGGCTATACGTCTTCCCCCAGGACACACTATCCTGCTATAAGACCTAAGCAATGTTCCCAAAGCAACTCTTTGTTTCACAGATTGAGAAATAGCTCAAGATACACCACATGTAGAGCGATACAGGAAGTGTCCAACTCAGCCTACAGAAGCTACTCCTCACTGTTCTATGTCAGTCTAGATTATTCTAGGGCGTGTGTTCCAGTACTCAGAGAGTAAGGCCGAGGATACAGGAGAGCAGGTCTGGGTAGACACAGGTCCTGTATACCTGGGAAGTCTTCTGAACTCTCTTCCAATCCAAGTCAGTTACTGTATGATGAAGATCTTTGTGGGTTGAGGACTTTGAGGGGATAGCACAGATCAGGCCCAGACCCCACCCTCCAAAAGTATGAGCCTGTGGTGGAGGCTAGCTCTGTGTAAACCAGTCTGGTATGGCAGAGGGGTAAGGTAACAACTGTGACCCCTGAGATTAGAAAATATGTGGAGAGAACAGTCATGCTGATCACAATCCTCGCCTTAGAATCCAACTGGGAAGGGAAAGAAAGAGAGAAAAAAGTCTTAAATTGTACTGGTGCTTTCACTAGTTAAAAAAAGGGGAGACTGAAGCCGGGTGTACTGGTGCATGCCTTTAATCCCAGCACTTGGGGGCAGAGGCAGGCGGATCTCTGAGTTCAAGGCCAGCCTGGTCTACATAGTGAATTCCAGGCCAGCTGGGGCTATGGGGAGACCCTGACTCAAAAAGACCAAAAAAAAAGTCAGTGAGGTGGGAGACTGAACCCGGGTTCTCTGCAATAGCCCTGGCTGCTCTGGCAGAGGACCCAGGTTCAAATCCCAG